TTCCCTACAAAGAAGCTCAATTCACAAAGGGATTTAATATTTAAGTAGCTTGAGTGAACACATGCTGCAGAGGACAGAAGCTGTGTGAGATATCAGTAGGTCTCTGCAGACCTGACAGCTCAAGAGCTGTCCCACAGTTGGAAACCAGGGTTTAGGAGCTGCAAAAAGCTTTTACCAAGATGGACCAAAGAGATTGAAAGAGCAAGAGGCTTTTTTCATTCTGTCAACATGAACCTGATGGAAATGAAGCAGAACACAACCACAAATTACTATCTTCTATTTTGGTACAGTTTAGATCTGGAACATAGAATTGCAAAACCTATGGCATTAATATGAAAGAAAACATTTTCAAACAAGTTAGATGCTCTTATTTCTTTAGAAGTCACTTTCTTTCACTCTTCATATATCAGTTTTTGCTTTATGATCAGCATTTCTCAGACTAGAAAGTTTGTGCTCTTTCTTTTTTGAGACAGCAATAATGAGGAGGGTAAAAGCAGACAAATCCTGTCAAAACAGACAGTTTATGTATCTTCACTTGCATTCCTAGATCAGTTTTTCAGTGATCCCATTAACCCACAAAAGCTGTCCAAAAGGTCTGCAGGAATCTCTGAACAACCTGTGTCCTTAGGCTTTGAGAGCTCTCAAAATATCCCTGAGCCTCAGGTGGACTAGTGCTGAAATGCTGTGGAGTTTCCTCCATGTGCAGAGAATCAAAGCTCAGACAAACTGCAGCCAGTGACATTCCAGCCTCACACCCTCATTTTACAGTTAAGCTCAGAAGAGAAAACACAGTCCAACAAAACAGCACAGGACACATCTCCTTTGGTCAACTGTTGGGTTTTCTGAGTAGAGGAAGTTCTCCAGGACTGAGTCTTATCTTAGTGAATAAAGACATTAAAGACATCATGCTAGTGCAAAGCTATTTAACATACATTAGCAGTCAACTTTGCCATACTGATGTTAAACAAATTAATTTACTAGAAGAATCAGATGTTCTTCTTATTCTCTGTTAGTTTATTAGTGACATCAGGTACTACTTTTACATTCAGAAGGCATGGAAATTTCAGATTGATTCACAAGAACAAGCTGCTAATGAAAAAAGACAACAGCCATATGCCAGGTTCCCAGCAAAATGTTAAGAGCTTGGTATGAGTTTTCCCATAGCAGGTATGGTCCCTTCTGACATAGCATTCACAACTTTAATTATGGTTTTAGCTTTAGCATCATCAGAGAGAAGCTGTATGCAACTAGAAATTTTCTTGTATAAAAAGATTAAACAACAGAAAAGAAGTTTTGTACCTGTCTTCTTTACTCAAAATACTCACATTTCTCACACAGACACAATACTCAGTTCTGTGGTCCTCAGAACACTTATTTCCTCCAAAATCATACAGCAGCTTTAAGTAACTCTGCAACTCATCTTCAGACTCATGGCAGGTTATTCTGTTGTGAAATGTTTTTTAAATTCTTTGAAATAAACAAACTATGAATTAATTTGTTTTTCTTCCTTTTAAAGGGGCAACTCAGGGAGTCTAGGAAAAGGAAAAGAGCAGGGAAGGTGCCAACAGAGACGGGATTAGGAGATTATACAGACTGGTAACCAGTACGACTTTTTCTTCTTCCAATGATGTAGGATATAAAGACAAGAATGATAAGGAAGCCAAGTGCCATGCCCACTGCGATGGGAATAAGAAAGTTCAGGTCAGAATCAGCAAGACATTCTTCAGCTGGAGAAAGAAGAAAAACAAAAAAAAAAGCAAGGGAGAATAAATTAGTAGAGGAAACCAAGCATTAGAAACCAAAGCAAACAAGGAGCAAACAGACGTGTCTGAGAACTTACACTGCATAATAAATCTAAGGTAAAATCAGTACTGAGTAAAGAACTGATAGATTAATTTCTTTAAACATATATACTACACACACAATTAGTATTGGTAATTTACTTCTTCTGATTTGTATATTTGATTTCATCTTCCCCTGGTGAGCAGTCTACTCAGATTAGACCTGTGAGGACA